GCCTGCACTGTCCCAAAAGGGGAAATAAAAACATACAGCCTCCTACTTTACAACACATAAAAAGGGAATTTCCATGTGAATTCGGCCTTTCTGCCAACGAGTCTGCAAGGTTAGGACATGGAGCATTCTCCTCTTGGGGAAGTTTTCTCAAAGATAAAGGAAGAGGGTCTGCTGAAGAGACTCGCTGCTTTTCCTTCCTGGGGTGAGGGGGGAGGCAAAGTGAGGAAAATGTTGTCATGCTGGAAATTCTATTTATAAATGCTTTTCTTTACAATAAGATGGCAAATTTAGGAGGGAGCAAATGGGAGTAGCAGCAGCTGCCCACACAGACTATTACTTTAAATTCAATTATTGGAAAATTACTCTATTCCAGCCAGAAGAAGAATGAGGGGGAGGAGAAGGAGGAGGAGAGGTGAAGAGAAAGAACAAAATATGGAATGAGACCAATATTAAGTTATATAAAATCACCAGGGGGGAAATCAACAATCGCCTGAAGAATTCTGGGCTGCTACCAACAAAGAGAAAAGCATAGATCCCGGATGGTCCAGAAATGTTCTTGTCAAGCTACCAATCCTACCAACAGCCAGGCATAAATACAGATCACACAAAACCTTTAGTCATGAAAACCAGAGGCTCCAAAGACAATTATCTGTGTATTTATACGTATGACAGCTTTTCTGAAAATGGAAAGATTTGTAATCTCTTTTTTTTTAAAAAAAGGTGATCTATAAAACACAGTGCTCATTATAATCAGCATGCCACAGTAGAGACCGAATCAATTCCTGCTATGAAGGGGGGGTGGGGGAGATGTGCTTTCTTCTGGCTTGCTATTTACATGGATTTGAGTTTTAAAATACATGTGTATCCAGTGGAATACTGTGCATCACACAGGAGCAATGACTTTGTAAATTATTACCTAACTTGGGAGGGACTGGAGAGTATTATACTGAGTGAAATAACTCAGTCCCACAAGGACAAATATTGCCTAAAACTGTGACTGTAGTATGTGTATAAGGATCCAAGGCAGTGGGAGAGGGTGGAAGCACAGGGATGGGGAGGTGCAGAGGGAGGGGAAATTAATCATGGAGTTGTACAATTTTAAGAGGGGGGGAAATTAGAAGAATCCATTCTGGAAAACAAATTTTGAATTTTGTAAGTAAACTAGTATAATAGAAAGAGAGGGAGGAAGGGAGGGAGG